GGGGCAATGGAAGCGCGTGCGACAAGTCTTTTCTGGCTGGTGCCCCTGCTTTGCCCAAATACACGAGTGTCGTGGGACGAGGACAGGTGAGGGGAGTGAAGTCAGCAATACCACGAGGCTCAGACAGCGACAGGCAAGACTGAGTTCGAGATACAGTGCCGGCGTACGAACTCTATGTGCCTGAGATGGTGGACGGGAGAAGGAGGGGAAGGGAAAGAAGAGAGGCGTGTCAGCGGATCAGCAGACAGGCTGTGGGTGGGCAGAGATTTCATTTATCAAATAAATACTAATAGTGAGCTGCAGCTACCGAGTGCATACGGCAGGCGGGATGGAACCGATCCCCAACGAACGCGGATAAAAATGGATTTACCCTGCTGCGGGTGCGAGCTTGTTGGTTCGCGGCGCCCGAATTCGGCAAGCAATATTTACCTCTGCTCTTGTTAGTCTGCCCCGATTCCGGTGCCTTGCTAGAGGATGCAGCCGAGCAAATGTTTGTTCATCTCGGCGGGTAGACTTACCGCATAGCCTCGGGTTAATTACCGTCGCTAGACTTGGCTTTTAGTGGGCGAGTGAGGCTTCTGAACAGACGGAACCTGCCATGTCTCACTCCACCAGATAGCGCTCGAGTACTTGGGGTTACCTATTTTACGTACAGAGAACTTGGTGGAGGCCGTTGGGGAGAAGACATTAAGGAAGAAATTGAGGTGTCGTGCATTCTTCTTCACCTAGTTTTGAGCCCTGATGGTGATGCCCATTTTGGCGGTAATTTACAGCTTCTTTTCCCCCTTGCTTCCTTTCACACCCCATCGTCTATTGTGTTGGTGGTAAGAGGCAACGGCGCATCTTCATTGGTGCCCACTGGCTTGCCGATAACGTGCATTACCCCAGACATGCATGCATTTTGTGTAAGTATGCGTGTGCGTGTATAGATGTTATGTAGCTTGTACTATAATTATCTGCCTGAGGACAGATTCTCCCCCAACCTCATATCTACGGCAGACATGCATCCGTGCCTGAGAATCCCACTACGACCACATCGATTGATGAATGCCTGGCCACGTCTTGATACCCCCGCTCCTGGAGCAGCAGGCTGCATGATATCCTACACCATGTGATTCTTCCATTGTCCCTTAATTGGACCCTTACCAGCCTCAGCCGACGTGCCAGCTGCAGCCTAGGCGATGACATTGGTCGTCTATATTGCCAACATCTCAGATGTGCGCTGTGCACATCATTCTAGGGCTATTGGTGCCCTTCATCAACCAATGAGGCCCAGCGTTACGGTTCGCCTTGAGGACGAAGGGCATCTCTACGCCCCGCTGCCTTGACTTCGTTGTCATTGATCTTCATTCGTCTCCAATGCTCTCCTCAGCTGAACAGGCCGCTGGGCTTCAAGTGCCTCCGCCTCCCTTACCTGCGAGAAAGAGACAAAAGGCTGACACTACGCCTTGTACACAATGACTCAACCAAGCTTGGGATTCCTACCCAACAAGTCTCGCCTTGATGAGGGTGTGTGGAAGTTGGAAGCCGTTGGTGGAATTGTCATCGTTGGACCCCCGTTTCTTCCCTAAATAAGGAATTTTCCTGTTCAGGCCCTATTCACGCCAGGGGGCAAATGTTCATGGATCGCCCGGAGAGCGAGCAACCGCCTGGCTTACACGAGATCGATCTGACTTCGACGAGCTTCCAGGTCCGCCACAGCGACTGGATTGCGAAACTTGCCACGGCCCTACATTCACATGGGGATTTTGAGCCGTGAAGGTGGGGATCGATCGATGCACCTCGATATTCCTCCTGGCTGCTGCTGGCTATTCTGCCTATTGCCTGCCGTTCAGGGCCTGCCCACATGAGCAAGTGTTGGTGTGTGTGATGGCGCAGCTCGTTCTTCTCTGCCTTGAGGCGGCCCCATCGGTAAAGCTGGGAGGTCCGTGACTCATTTTACTCATTTTAGAAATAGAACCCCTGGAACCATGCTCAAGGGTCTACCGGCAAAAACTGCGTAGTGCGGTCGAGCGAGTCACCGGCCAGCCTTGTTGCCTATTCTCGAATAAGTCGCCGTGGGCAGAGCAGTGCCATCGTCATTTCTATTTGAGCCGCCTCGCTGCCCAACCTTGCCAGCCTCGCTTGATTCGAGGACAACGACCGAATCATCTTGAGTTGCTTACACACACACACATTCTTAGGCCAGCTTCCCTTCTGCCTGATCACGTGCACTCCCGTCGGCGTGGCTCAATCCATCAGCAGGGCGCATGTGCAGTACGTACCCGCTCGGCTTAGCTAAGCACAGCCGGCAAAGCCGCCCGAAATCAGCCAGGCCAAAGGGCGGCCTCAATTTATATGAATTCACACCATATTTTTCAGGCCATCATCACATTGGAGCGCGTGCGCATCATCATCACCGTTCTTCGGCATTTGATTATTAGGCTGCATCGCCACCTGCCGGTGCGACCGACCACAAATCCTTATTTTCCCTTCCTTTTCCCTGCGCAAGCTTTTCCTGCTGTGCAACCCTTCCCTTGAGCTGGTTTTTGGCGCTTTTGCATTTCGCCTCCCGGGCGCTCTCCGTCCACCCGATTTTACTCTGAGAGTTTCCGTCTGAAATCCGTCGACGACCCTCGTCGCGGGGCTGCGGGACACCATGAGCGTCGCATACGAACCCCGGAACTTCATCAACGAGGGCGCCTATCCGCCCATGGGAGATGAGCACGACCATGCCGACCAACGATTTACCGACCGCGATGTCGCCGAACAATTAAGCCACTACACCACCGAGGCCGGAATGCTGCCGGACGATAGAGATGTGATTGGAGATGACAGAGGCATGCTCCCCGAAGACGCCGCCGCTGTGCAGGATGCTGCCCGGATCGACTTGACGGCGACCTTCCCCTCTCCCGTCCCGGTCCAGTTGCCCCATCCACAACTTTCAGTCGAGGCCTTCCCACCCAGCAAGGATCCGTCCCCAGGTGCCGAGTCGAACTCGTCGCGACCCAAGAGTATTCCGAAGCCGGATCGTGATGTTTCGAAGCAAGCGGACGGAAAGTTTCATTGCCCGCTTGACGAGTGCAAGGAAGATGTTCGAGCCTTCTCGCGAAAATGCGAATGGAAGTATGTGCATGCGCCAGGTCAACCACTTTCTCAAAGACAATACGCTAACTAAACTTATCTGTAGCAAGCATATGGACAAGCACGAACGACCTTATCGCTGCCTAGTAGAAGGCTGTGAGAATCTGCCAGGCTTCACCTACTCGGGCGGTCTCTTGCGACACGAACGGGAAGTCCATGGGAAGCATGGGGGACCAAAGAACACGGTGAACTGTCCTCACCCAAACTGCAAACGACATACGGGCAAGGGCTTCTCTCGTCAGGAGAACCTTAACGAGCACCTCCGACGAGTTCACACCAGCCCCGAGAATGAGGCGTCACCTCCCGTTGACGCCGTGCAGTCCCCCGAGGAAAACGATAGCGAGAGCAAGCCGGGCATCAAGAGAAAGCGCCGCTCTAGTGGAGGGATCAACAGCCACGGCGATGAACTCATGGAACTCCGCCAGGAAGTAAAGCGAGTTCGTGAGGAGAACGAAAAGCTAAAGGCCGAAATGGACCAGCAATCACAACACTCCCTCGCCATGATGACACAGATTGCCGAGCTCCAGGACGCATTACGACACGGCCTCGGCCAGAATGCTCTCGGTGCCCCAACAGCACAGATGATCTAGGGGACCCATCAGCTAATGGGGCTTCTTGATCCTGCGCTCCTCGACATGGACCATCTCTCGCCAGACACCACCCAATAATCCGAATAACCTAACGACTTGCCACGACTATTTCCACCAGACTATTTTCGACCAGATTCCCCCGACACTTCAAAATGACATAGATTTTCTTTTTGATATCATCCCCTCTCGCATCAGGATTCGGCGTTCAGGAACAGGGAGGATCTCCACGATTACACATGTGACACCACACCCACGCAATATGAGATAAACTTTACTTTGACACGACATCTCGCTTTTCCTCTTGTGGCGTCAGTTTATGCTGCGCATGTCTAGAATCTGTTTTCTGTTTTTCTTTTTTTCTTTTCCCCTCCGATTTACTTGTTCATTTTGCTTCTCTTTTGATGCATACACCCTGGAATACAGGGACGGAAAGACCACTCAGCAATGATATCCCCGCTTTAAGACATTTTTAATCCCATGTTTCTCGTTTTCATTCTCCTTTCCTTGTATTGTTTCCCCCCCTCTTTTCTCCCACCAGGATAAGATCATTTGGAGATCAGGAAGGGAAAGCAAGGAATCAAAGTTACCTGCATCTCAACGAGATTGGAAAGGTGGACTCGATAGCTAGAGCTTTCTCCTTTGTATGAAGCAGCAAGATACCTACCCACATCACTTTCTCAAACATCTATATGTACACCCGGTCAGAGAAATCGCGGAATGGATGTTTCCCCTAGCCCTAGCCCTCGCTCTGCTTCTTATTCTCAACACCACCTCCCCCCATGTATTACTAGATAGACTCAAGTTCGTGCAAACGCCCTACTCTTGGAGGCATGTTCTTCATTAATACTACATTGATGCCTAGAGCATTACCTACTCACACGACCTGATTGAATCCAATCACGTCTCACTACGTTCTTGAGTACACCACACCCTATCACGTTCCTAATCACATCTGCCTGCCTTCCTGATCACATTCACCCTCCTCCTGATCACAACCCATTGCATCCCTGCTGATATCCCGCGATGTTCTTGTAAGGCTCCATTTTGCTTGTGACAACTCTTTTCGTGATAGGTGATCGTCTAACGAAATCTTGCAGCCTGAAACGACTTTAACTTTCACAGAAACGATACAGCAGGCAAGTAGGTAATACCTACAGGAAGCGAAACATATTGTAAGCAATAAGCCACTGGGGTTTATTACAAGGCTAAACAAACAACAGAAAAAGAGAGTCGATTTCCCCCTTCGAAGCACCCTCAACGACCACCCCCCCAACCCTAACTCAACCGTTACAGTCCTAGACCCTCCAGCACCAGTTTCAGCTCCTTGTTCACAGAGGATCTCTTCCGCGGCCCGGCCTTGGCCATTTCCATACCGGATGGCCTCTTCCTGTTCTTGGTCTTGGTCATACGACCCGACGCCCTGAGCGATCCAGGCTCCTTCTTATTCCGGCGAGATGGAGGCATGCCCGGCCGGCGAGCGGTCTCCTGCCGTTGTGGTTCCGAGCCAGCCCGTGAGAACTTGAATCTCGGCGGTGTGGCTCGGGCCTCGAGGTACGGCGAGTCGTCCACCGCCCCCTCGGATCTGGGTGCAAGATCAGACTCTGCGTCCGGGAATCCGAGGGCCATCCCAGCCAGGCTTGTGAGGAGGGCGAGGTAAATTCCGGCGTGGATCATGTTGAAGTCGAACGTGATCAGGAGAGAAAAAGAGGCAGAGGAAAAGTGTTTTTGCAAGCAAGCAGGAAGTAGGATCGGACGAGAAAAGACACCTACTGAAGTTGGATGAACATTAAAGGAATATACTCCAGATTCCCGTTCCCGGGCTCTCCTTATTTTAATGCCCCCATCACCCCATAAACTAAATATAAAACCTATGCCAGAATGACATGCAAATAAAGTCCCAAATCCATCTTGCGTAATCCAAGCGACCAACAGTCGTTGGTACCTTATAACAGCGCCATAGAACATCCCAAAGGGGGAATATGCCACAGTAGTGCAGATTCCTACGACATGAGTAGATGGGCGCAGGGGTCTGAACCAACTTAAATACAGTGACCAAGTCTCACCTCCTTGGAGGAAAAAAAAAAGAGTGAATTTTATGTGAGCTTGTATGTTCCCATGTTGAGGTACTCTGGGACGGCTGTGGGGGCATCGACGGCTGCAGCGATGAGTGCATGGGTAGTAGTTGCAGGGGTCACACATAGCAACTGGTTTCGTGGTCTAACGGTCATGACTACAGGTTCTGATCCTGTCAGCGAGGGTTCGACTCCCTCCGAGACCTTTCTTTTTGCACGCTTGAGCCAACAACTGAGACATGCGCATTCATTTCTCTTCTTCTTCCCCGCCAAAACGCCCAGTATAATGCACCCAAAAACGCATGCAACCTCCAACGAGAATAAAAAATGCTGGTTATACACTGAAACCTCCCAAGTATGTATATATGTATAGGGTATACATCTCATCCCCATCATTCCCACATAATGCAAAAAAGCCATGTCTATACAGTCCCATGACACATAAACTGTCCCGTTTTCTCTCTCGAGTTCAAACAATTACCAAGTTTTCAGTAATTTCTCTCTCCAGACAGACTAAACAGCCTGGACATAGCTTGCAGGAACACTCCCAGTGACTCCTGCCTTCTCCACCTCGACCCAACCATCTCCAGGATCGTCCTTGACGAGTACGAACCGCTCTCCTTCTACCATGCTATGTTCCGTTTCGCTTTGGGCAACGTATTCGTAAACCGCCTCGACATACCGAAGTTTCTTTGCCCCTCGTTTGGGGGCCACCGCCGGTCCCTGTTTCTTCTTCGCTGCTGCTGCTACTGAGCTGGCAGTCGACGCAGTTGGCGATGGTATGGGGGACGCAGCCGCGGGAGCCGAGGCAGCCGTGAAGTCGACATACGCGGCAGGGACAAGTCCTTCTTTCACTCCGCACCTAACCTTGACCCAGCCAGAGCCATCTGTTGTCATGTCAGCCTTATTCGCCACACAAATCCGCCCCCAGAGAGGCTATGTAGAAGTCATGGTTTTTCCACTTACCGTCTTCATCAAGCAGGACGACATCTCTGCCTTCAGGGACCGATAGCTCTCCGTCGCCGGTGGCGTCGAATGAGTACATCATCTTTCCTTTCTTCTCATCCTTTGAACCTCCGTTCATACCGAAGCCAGCTGACTTATCCGTAATATAAGCGGCAGGCGGTGGGGCCATTATCCTATTCTTCCGTACCGGGCCTGTGCTAGTGGTTGAAGAGACGCTCGGACGAGGTGCTGGTGCGGACTCCTCAGTAGGAGTCACTGAGCGACCGGATATTGAACGTTGCGCCTCGCGTGAGCTCAACGAGTTCATGGTATTTGACCGACTGAGGTCTGGTCCATCAGAGGGATTGGAGACATTGGAGACATTAGACGTGGAGCCGGAAGCAACTGGTTTTAGAAGCTTGTTTGCGGAATCCTGGCGCTCTGCCTTGAGCTTCTTACGCTCCTCTTTGCTCTTCTCACCGGGGCAGTCAGCCGGCACCTTCATCTCACATTTGCTGTGGCAGGTGTAACCGCAATCCCGGCAATCAAAGCCCTTTGCGCTGAGACCCCAAATGCGCTCGCCACAGAGATCGCAGTTGGTTGGGATCTTAAAGGTCTGGCTCTTGAAGTTGTGGTTCTTTGCGCCCAGGGTAACGTCACCCACCACGTTGGTGATGGTGGATGTCTCGACCTCGGCAGTAAGGCGCTGGCGATCGAGGTTGTGAAGGACTTCTTGCATTGCGAAAAGTACCCGGACGACTTCCACCTCGTCCTTCTTTTCGGCGCCGTCACGGACGCGCTGCTTAACGCGCTTAGCGTTTTCGACGTCCTTTCGCTTCTTGTCTACTTCCCGTCTCAGGTCGCCTAATGAGGCCTTTGATTTGGTCAACATATTGCGCAAGTATATCGTAGCTGTAGCGTCGATCACCATGGCATCGTCGTCATGCCACACCGGACTGGGCTCAAATACGAGATCTGAGGGTTCATGGAAGGCTCCCATATTGTGGCGAATGTACATCATAGAGTCGAGATGCGGCAGGTTGCGCTTGATTTGGGTCGATTGGTCTTCCATCATCCCGTGTGATTCCTTCATCAAGCCGCTCTCCAACAAGGTCGCCACCTCCCAGAGTCCATTTAGTTTCAAAGTACGGAATTCGTTGAGATCTTGCAAACTATCCATGACCTCGGGGACGTATTCATGATAGTATCGCTCTTTGAGGCGGTTGGTAACGTTGATTGCAATCAGATATGCGTTCTTGGCATTGTTCATCTCAAAAACCTGTTGCTGGTATGCGCTTTGTGCCTTGGCCTTGTCATAATGGGATTCCGACTTCTTGCGACGAGCCTCGACTTCCTGGCACACGGCATCGTATTTGCCCTTGACCTTGCGTAGATCGGCATAGGACGAATCGCGCTCGCTGACAAGCTTGTCTGCGTATTCAACATGGCGTTTCCGCAGCTCCTCGAATCGACCGGCATATTGTTTCATAGGTTCGGCAACTTGCGAGACGAGACTATTTCCAAAGCGATCGTGCTCGGCAGCGCGCGACTCCAGAGTCGTAAGCTGGGTGGACCAGGTTGTAAGAGAAGCGCTATAGGTAGGCAAGGCATGAGGTCAGTATGTTGAAAGGGGCGAGCGCATGTTGTATGCCAGCAAAGAATGGTCCAGTAGGAGCCAGAGATGTATGTTGGAGATTGCGCACCTTTCTAGGGAACCGGGTGTCATGGCCGGAGTATCACCAACACTGAGAGGCGACGACTTGCGATTCTTCTTCTCGAAATATTTCTTGGCCAGGGCAGAAAGCTTTGCAGCGTACTCCTTCTCGATAACGGCCCGTTCGCGGTAGAATTGTTGGATATCGTCGAGCCAGGCAATGCCATGGCCAGCCCAGGCGCTGGCAGGCTTGAACCCATCCTGCGGGAAACGAGTCAGTGAATGGATCGAGGATTGAGATTGGGTGTGTTGCGGCCGTCATGGACACTGGATGGACGGTCGGAGGGCACGGAAAGGGCACGGACTTTGAGCTCAGCTCCAAACGTGGGTATCTCGTCGACGGCAGCCATCGTGAGCAATGCGTGGAGGGGGTCGTGGTGGCAAGGAGCGAAAGTGGTGGTGATGCCGTGTCGAGATCATACACCGAGGCGTGAGCGAGGGCGCCTCGTCTGAGACATCAATGTCTCTGTGCGTGTCCCAGACCTAATGCTCGTGCTGGGTGCGCTTCGGGGCAGAGGGACACAGGGCGGCGCCGTGGGAGGGGGGTTGTCTGCTGAGGCTTCTGTGGGGGAAAGACGCCGACGGCGATAGCCTAAATGGTCTCTTGGTTGCTGCCGGGCGGCGGCTGTGTCGATGGAGGGGTGAGTAAGACACGACTAGCGACTGTAAACGGCCCAAGAAGCCAACTGATGGGTGCTGCAGAGGCGTGGGAGACGCGGCCCTTGAGCCACCTAAAGGATAAATTGGCACTAGAGAAACCGGGGTTCCTGGTCTTGGCGGCTTTGTGGGTGGGCGGGAGGATTGTACGAGAGCTGTCAGGCTGTCTTTGTGCTGCTGTCAGTCGAGCAGCCACTCGGAAAGTATGTGAATATATACGCGCTGCGCAATTATGTATATTGGTTGTGGCGGTTAGATGTCGGAGGGGGAATGGATGGCTGGGGAAGGAGGCAGGAGAAAGGAAGAAACATTTGCGAACATTGCTGGAGAGCAGCTGTATTCACCTAGACTTGGGCTCGTAGCTCTGTACCAAGACCACCACCTACTGCCCATGCTGACAAGGAACTCGTAGGTGCTGCAGCAGTGCGTCGGCGCCTGTCTCCTCCACTCGCACGGAAGGTGACGACATCATCATCAATGCGACAAGCGACAGCTGCATCAGACAAACGGCAACAAGGACCGGGGTTAGATGTTGGGCTTTACCAGTGCTTTTACCGCAGGTATGCACGTCGTACGGAGTGCATTAGGCCTGCTCTAGCCAACCGCTACCCGACAAACCACAAGGCGGCGCTACCTGAGACGGCCCTGGCTGCAGGATGCTTAAAGAAGTACGGGAATAGAGGCCGTGTCGTTGACTGATTTGCAGTTTCCAGCGCGCTGTTCTTGAATCGAAAGTCATCAATGCACCAGTCAGCATAAGACGATTTACCTTTGGGTGCTATGCAAGCTCTGTCATGATAGTTACCTGGGTTCTGTTCATGTTGCCATCCCTCTTGACCAATCTAGCCAGCGAGTTGGTGTTGAGATGACGATGCAGACTCACTGGTTGGTGAGAAGTCTCTCTGAAATAGAACTATCAGTCTTGTCTCCCTTTCTCTTCCATCTACGATATTCTGTCCAACTGTCGCCTAACATGACTGCCACAGCCTAAATATAGCCTTCTCCAAGTTGCTTCTCAGTTGGAGAACCGTTGCACGGGGATCTCGGCATTTGCGACCGATTGGTTCCGCCGTTTTGAGAAACAGAGTCACATCGATGCAATCCAGGGTCATCCCGTTGGTAGATTTAGTCACATGTCCAGTTCCTGATGTCCGAAAACCATCTTTTTCTCAACCTCAGATCTCGCCTCGCCGTAGCCTTACCCCAGATCTCGCATCACAAGCTATGGGATATGTAGGGTAGCGCGGGTTCTTTGGCTCTCACAACGGGCAATTAGGAATGGCTTCGCTTGTTTTCGGCGGGCCACCCCGTCTAGACTTGCAAAAGACGTCGAGATCAATGGCTGGGGGTGGGCCTGGACGAGCTCCGTCTCTCGAAAGCGCGAGTCACAGATCGAGACAGCATGTTAGCTGGCCCTTTTCCCCGGAGCCTCCCCGTGCTGTGCTGCAGAGGCTCGGCACGGCGCCCCGGCAAGTAGTGGGAAATTGCCGTGAGATCACATCATCCCAGAGACCCAGCTCAAGCCAGACAAGGTGATACTCCACTCGCTCTCTCATGATTCTTCTTCTCAATTGAGCTCCTCCCGACTGATAACCTTTCTCCTCTTGCACCTCCCGTTCCATCACCATTCCGAACCCAGGGCCCGTGTCTGCATCTTCCAGCCCAACTAAAGAAGACGCTTTACTTTCTCAGGAGGGCCCCTTTCCTTACCATTGCATCGTGAAGAAATTTTGGGTACACGCGTAATTCGTTATCTACGTTGCTATCGAAGCCAGCCAAAAGGGGAAACAGGAATTCGACAGCAACAGAAGCCATGTCTCTCACCCTGCAAACCGCCATCCAAGGCAACCCGGCCTCTACGGCCGTCATCATCCCTTCGCGACCGGACCCTCTCACCGTGTCCTACGCTTCGCTAGTCTCCCAGGTCGGCGCCTTCCAGCAGAAGCTGGCCGATCTCGGCATCACCACCGCCTCCCCCGTGTCCATCGCCCTCGTCAACTCATGGGAATTCATTGTCTCTTTCCTTGCCGCATCATGGCAGCGCGGCATTGCGGCGCCCCTCAACCCGGCCTACAAGCAGGACGAGTTTGAGTTTTACATCGAGGACGTCAAGAGCGCCATTGTCCTCGTCCCCAAGGGCGCCTGGGCCGCTGGCGCCCCGAGCGTCAAGGCTGCGAAGAAGTTCAATGCTGCTGTTGCTGAATGCTACTGGGATGCTGCCAAGGGCGAGGTTGTCCTGGACGTGAAGGATCTCGGCCATCTGAAGGGAGCCAAGGAGAAGCTGCTCAAGGCCGAACCCGATGATGTGGCCCTCATTTTGCACACCAGGTAAGCGATCTGAGCTATCAATTGATCAATCTTTTTATACATTAATTGACGACGTTGTTAACCAATTCATAGCGGTACTACGTCGAGACCCAAAGTGGTATGTCGTTGAATCTTGGTGAAGACAATGCCTGGGAGCACAAGCAAGGCTGACCTCAATGATGATAGGTTCCTCTCACACACCGTAACCTCACACGCACCATGAGTGAGTTCTTTCTTTTACTTAAAAAACTGATTTTTTCGTTCAATTCTACGGACGGATACTATGCTACTGAGATTATGGACTGCTGACACCAGTCAGGAAATATCCAAAACACCTACCAGCTTACACCCCAGGACCGCACCATGCTGGTGATGCCCCTGTTCCACGTTCACGGCCTCGTCTGCGGCCTTCTCGCCCCCTTCCTCTCCGGAGGATCCATGGTCGTCCCTACCAAGTTCTCCGCCTCGGACTTCTGGCGCGACTTCACCACCCACGGCGCCAACTGGTACACGGCCGTGCCCACCATCCACCAGATCCTCCTCAAGAACCCTCCCCCCAGCCCCAAGCCCGCCATCCGCTTCATCCGCTCCTGCTCCAGCCCCCTCTCCCCCACCGTCTTCCACCAGCTCGAGGAGACCTACAACGCCCCCGTCCTCGAGGCCTACGCCATGACCGAGGCCGCCCACCAGATGACCTCGAACCCCCTGCCCCCCGCCAAGCGCAAGCCCGGCAGCGTCGGCCTCGGCCAGGGCGTCGAGGTCCGCATCCTCAACGATGCGGGCGACGAGCTGCCCCAGGGCCAGGAGGGCGAGATCAGCATCCGCGGCGAGAACGTCACAAAGGGCTACCTCAACAACCCCTCCGCCAACGCCTCCTCCTACACCGCCAGCGGCTTCTTCCGCACGGGGGACCAGGGCAAGCTCGACGAGGACGGCTACGTGATCATCACCGGCCGCATCAAGGAGCTCATCAACAAGGGCGGCGAGAAGATCAGCCCCATCGAGCTCGACAACGTCCTCACGCGCCACCCCAAGGTGGGCGAGGCCGTCAGCTTCGCCATCCCCGACGAGGTCTACGGGCAGGACATTGGCGTCGCCATCGTCCTCAAGCCCGGCGAGTCACTCACCGCCGACGAGCTCAAGGCCTTTGTGGCTGAGAAGTCCGTCAAGTTCAAGGTCCCCAAGAAGGTAGGCAACCCTCTCTCCCGTGTGCCCCTGTTCCCGTTCCATGCCCCTGTCCCGTGTTCCGTGGTACACTCACCGGACAATGCAACTGCTATGATGTCATGTGCATAGTGCTGACGGAAAACCTGATAGGTCTACTTCACAAAGGTCATGCCCAAGACGGCAACCGGTAAGATTCAAAGACGCATCGTCGCGGAGACGATGGTGAAGCAGGACGCCCCCAAGGCGAAGCTCTAGATTGCGCGCGAGACGTGCACGTTTTGTCGCACACAACGAACCGTAAGATATGCATGTAAATATAGATTCAGCATGATGGCTTTCATAATCCCAATATATAAACCCGGCGCCTTAAAGCTGCTCTAATTCATGATTCTGGAATGAATGTGACAAACAAAATAAGGTTTCATCCACACCCCTCCGATCAGCATAGTCTTTGGCGATCTCCGGACCCCCCCCGAACCCGGCCAATCTCCCTCACAGATCAAATAATCGCCACTGTAGATCGAAACCATTCCCCCTATAGGTTTCTCTCAGTTCGGCGATGGGCTCGCTATCTTCTTGGGCACCACGTCGAAACCCTCGACCCAGCAGCTCACCCCCTCGGCCGTGTCCCACCGCAGCGGCTCGACGGGGCAGAAGAAGTGGTTGTCCGGGCCCGAGGTGGACGGTTTGTTGGCCAGTGTGATGCCGTGGGAGTTGGCCTGCTGGAGGCACTCGTTGTTGGCGTCCTGCACGTCGGCGAAGACTTCGACGATGTTGGTGGAGCTGGAATCGTGCATGAAGAGGACGTAGACGGTGCGGTACATCCTCGCGTTGGTGGTCCTGCCCGCGCTGACATTCTGTATGGATTGGGTGGTGAGCGACATCCCCGCGGTATTGTCTCTCATGTTGTCTCGCTGGGAAGGCTGGATGGAGGATAATTTGCTCTTCTTTCCATTTGTACGAGGTTGTTATGGGGACAGCATGGTCGTCTATTGTGATTCTGACAGAAGAGATAATTCTTGTTCGACGGCGTAGGCGCTTGTTATCTACTCATGCGCTGCGAGGTCAAGGCTAGTCGCAGGGTCTTCGTCATTAAATCAATGATCGCCGCCGGCTCTCGCCCCCGACGTCATCGGCCCCCGGGTTCGAGGAAAATTGGTTGGGAGCAGGCGAGTCGTGTGCCGTCAGTCTGGGCTTGTAGGTTCTTATTTTTGTTTCGGGAGTAGCACGGTCTGCAATGTGCCTAGCTGCCACACACCCACACAAGACCCGATTTGCTGGTGTAGCGGGTGAGTTATCGCATCATGGACGGATTGGGATCCCGTATTCCACGGTCAGCGGAGCTTGTGTTACCACAAAAACGGTCGAGAAGCTCCGGGCTGGGGTGGTTTTTGTTTTTATAGGAGGCCGTCTGCTGGGCATTTTCGGAGCTTTCAGTCCACCGCATCATTCCTGCGGTGCCTGGGGGTCACCCAGGATGTTGTGGTGGTTAGGACCCCGGTGAATGATGATGTCGGAGAAGAAGTATGACGGCCTTGAATTAAGGTGCCCTATGGTGTGAGCTGGTCCCGTCCATCCTCTTCGCGAATCCCCATAGAAGTCTGGGCTAGGCTGTACTCTATGTGGCTCGGCGTCGCACGTATTTCCCCTCTTTGGCTGGGTTGCTGAACATGACGCCTCGAGAGGCTGGGAGAGTTAGCACGAGAAAAGCCTTTCGCAACCGAAATGCGGCCTGAGCCGATTGCTGGCTTCTACTCGACAATTGTTCATGGCTATGGTCCTGCTGGGTGTTGTGGATTGAGAAGATGATGGCTGGGCCGAGTTCGCAATGATTTAGAAAGCCACATCCGAGCTATGAGCCGTAAATAGGAGCTCGTGACCGCCCAAGTGTCATGGGAATGACAGTTATATTTCTCATATTGGGTAACAATTTGGCACAGCAATAACGTAAGTTGAGGGTAATTGGTCGCCTGAGAGCAGAAATGGGGGGACCCTTGGCAATTAAATATATGAGACTTTTATTGTAGGAACAAATCAACGCTCTTTCCCCAGGGAGCATGTTCCTTGACCTACGGGAAAAGAGGAGACAAGGTTGCTAAGTATATATCGGAAAGGCCAAGCAAAGTGGACCGTGAGACAAGTTGGGGATGGCGTCGTGGGACAGATCAGATTGATAAGATTAAAGAACCACCGCCCCAAAAAAAAGAAATAGTCCGAAAAGCATTTTAATGGAATGCGCCATAATTGTCTCCGGAAACCGAAATTAGCCGAGATTGGTAGTTCTGGCAGGCTTGTTATTGGGATGGGGTGGCTCTCTAACATGCACTGGATACCACCTATCTCGCGCAAACGAGAAATTAGATACGATCAACCTCTGTGCCTCTAGATGCCGAGAGGATTGCTGCTTGTTATCTCGGGGGAGTGATCCGAGATGATAGAATCAATCGGTGAGACTGAGAAGGGAAGGAGAAAGGAGAGGTACAAAAGCCGGTCCGGGGAAGATAAGAAACAGAAGCTAAAAAGAAGCAGTCAGAAAGACGGTATAACCAGGGCCACTATGCCCACTTGGATCGGTGAACGAGGTGCTTTTGCATGTTGTCAAGCGGTGCTAAACTAACGACATGTTGCAACCGGGCCGGAGTGGACTCTTCCCACATAGCAACTAGAGCAGGACGGCAACTGCCTCTGACAGACGTAATAATGAGGACAAATGTAGATTCACCTGCGGGGAAAGGCAGATGCACGATGCAGCGCTGTAGCCAACCAGTGCCTGCGTGCTTGCAGGTACGATACAAAGCAACACCGCATCGTGCCGTCTGGCTTTCCCACCTGGGCCGGCCGCCTGCACGGGGAAAATTTGGTAGGTTCGCGTGACTGGCCCCGGTCGGCCAGAAGAGAGCGTGCTTGGAGCTTCGTCACTCAATCCCACACGACTAGACCTCGAGAGGAGTAGCTCGTGGGGAGCCACTCAGCCTCGATGGAGTTCTCCATCCGTTGCGCCCTACCTGGTGGCACCGGTACCGGTACCTGTACCTGTACCTACGCTTGTCGGATCGATGTCATCATTTCGGCGCATTGTATCAGCTCGAGGGCCGTTGCAATTCGATCCGCGAGGTACCTGCCTACCCCTTCCATGGCTTGCAGTACAAGTTGTCGCGGCCTCTCTGGAGGTAAAATGGATTGTTGGGAAAGCGCGACTCCTGAATCACTTAATACTGGATCCAGCCTCGATCCATTACCTCTTCAGTTGTCCCGTCTCTCCCCCACCCCTGCCTCTTTGTTGCTTCTCTGTTACTTCACTCCATTCATATGCGGTTTGCTCTCACTCACTGGATCAAGAGCATCCAACCGGTTCCCGATCATCAATCAACAAACGATCAACCTGCTGAAACCCCAGGCTGTCTGTCTTGCCAGCCGGTGCCTGTCAATCGATCCCTCTACGCCCGCGCCGAGCTCCGCCGATCAAACCCCCGCCAATCCCTTCCTGGGCTCGACGGACGGTGAAGCCCGCTTATCGCCCTGTTATCAGCGTCCGTCAGCGGTCTGCAGTGCTCAGATCTCCGGTAGCACCGCCATCGACTATCTGTCCGCTTGTTGCTCCATCACTTTGTCGCAATGGCTCGCTTCGTCGATTTAGGGGACAGTGACGATGACCAGGGCGCTTCCGAGTCTCTCGCTCAGCAGCACCTGCATCCCGGCGTGAATGTGATTGGGCTCAATGGCAAGGGCCTGGCTGTCCACAACGGCTCCGATAGGGACCAGGGCAGCCAGCCGCCGCCCGAACACCCTCCGAGGATACAGAACCTCACCACAATGGCGTTCGCCTGTTATCCGTATTCTTGACCCTCCTAAAACTGTTGCTTCGTGACATTGGAACGGAGTATACTAAACCTTTTTCTGCAGCGTCGTCGCCGCCATCGTCTCCCACATCGACTTGAACACGCTGGATTCCCTTGCCCGCACCAGCTTCTTCATCCATGCTTCGCTCATCCAGTACCGTCAGATTCTCATCAACTCGACCCTGCACTGCTCCAACGAGGGCGTGCCGGTAGATCATGACCAGGTCTTCCGATATCGCGCTAGGGCAAGCAATTGGGAATACATGCAGGAGGATGGCCGCAACTATGAAGCCAAGTCTGGCGATTGCGCCCGTGACCTAGTCGAGCCATGCCGACGATGCAGTAAGGTTATTTGCCGGGTAAGTTGTTGATTTCCTCTTGTCCCTTGTCCTATTCGAAAGGAAGTCAAATACCGAGGACAATGCTGAGACTGTGATTTGTGATAGAACTGTGCAATCAAGCCTCCGGCTCCGGTTACTTTACGTGAAAGACATCGCAGATTATGTAGCCCCTGCACCCGCGCCCCAATTGCGACTCTTGCAAAACCTCCCCTGGACCCATCGCTCCCCCTCGATGCAGAAGGGGTACAGAGGGCTTTATGTCAGTGTGATAAGCAAGGAGTTTGGCTCTGTCAACCTTGTGGCCGATCTATTCGCGGTGCCGATAACGAGTACCATCGGTAAGTTGTCGTAGTTCCTCGCCGGATCTTGAACCTGACCCCCCAAACTCGCCCATCCTCCCTAAATCTGCTTACACTTTTTGTAGCATTTGGCGCTGGCGCAGCCAGTATGGAGAAATCCTGGGTGGCTTAGGCACTGGCATTGGGGAGGGCGATCGCGGTGTCATCTGCGGTCGCGAGGCTGATTGCTGCGCTGCCAAGGAGCGTGAGCAAGAAATTGATTGTGATGCTCAAGACGCCAAAGATAATGGCCATCTCGGCTCTTGGGCTGACGTCCAATCTGCCTCATCAAGCTCGACTCCCAGTCCCTCTGGAAGCCAACATAGCCAGAACCCGCTTGACTTGGTTCTGGAAGACTACCGCCAAGAGCGCACCCCTTCGCCACAGCTGCGTACGGGTTATGTGAGGCATGAGATTGAGGGAATCGGAGGTGTTGTAAAGCGCAAGCTTGTCCGCATGGTCCGAGTAGGCGCCTGTGTCCCTGACTATGAGGATGAAATTGGTCCTGGCAAGAAAGCACTCGGCCGTGAAGTAAGAGGCGAACGCAGGAGTTGGTGTGGATGGTGTTGGAGAGCGATTCCTAGCGAAAAGGACTCTCTTTCCCCTTCAATAGGTAAGAGCAAGAAGTGATGGCTTTTTTTTCGTTTTCTTTTTTTGTTTTATACAAAAGGCGGTCTGATGAAAGAAAGAGATGGGCATGTGGAAAACTGGTACAATTAGCCAACCTCTTCAATGCGTGAAAGTAAAAGATGCAACTCATTTCAAATGAGCCCATAGTAATACCCGTACATACCATTTGGCATGTTCCAGATAAATATAACTAATAAAATGAATTTACCCCCAGCTCGAGCAATACCTTGATTTTGTGACAACGAATGGATATTGCCAGTTCGGCATCTGAGAGACAAACGTTCGTTGAAAGAAATAAGACGGCCATATATCATTTATACAATATGCATTTTTTGAATCATTCTACACGTGGCACATATCCACACATAATTATACAGAATGAGGCTCTCTCAACCATCCCACCCTCGTACGACCCAGCCAAGGGTCATCGAGCTGGCCCTCGTCGTTTGGATTAAATTTCGCCCCGATACAGCATCTCCGCTCTCCTCCCGCGGTCCTCCCTGGCCTGCGTCTTGATGGGACCCCATCTCTCCCGGCGCCGCTCGGCCTTCTCCTCAAGCCACTTCTTGTGCTCCGCCGGCGCCGGGGCGGCGATGGACACGATGATGGGCGAGCAGTTGAACTTCTTGGACAGGGCGTTTGTGCTCCACCTCAGGGGGTCCTCGTTCCTCAGCCTGCGCATCTCGGCCATGTCGTCCTCGGTGAGGTTGTACTGGGCCCGGCGGCGGGGGTACCTCATGGCGGGGGGCAGGTCGTC